ATCCAGTTTTATAAAACTTGTGTAGATTAAAGGGATATCGGGTGATAAGGGAATGAGACGGGGATTAAGACGGGGATCAAGGGATTAAGCGGATTTGGGTTGATTATCGTGGGATTTGGGTGTAGTAAGAGCAAAATCTATCAATTTCGATGGATTAATTGGGATATTGTCGGATTAGGTATCCGCACTTCTATTCTTAAGCCAAAAAAAATTTTTTTTACACCGCAGGCGAAAATTTTGGAAGGAAAATTTTGGAATTTAAAATTTTTAAAAACTCAGCCCATCCCGATAGCGTCATAAAAATACTTGGTTTTAACCAAGTCTATCGAGTAAGTTTCCGAGTACGAGTAATGCGAGTATTAGAATCCGGAGTTTTGAGCCCGAAGCAGAGACTAAAAACCCCGAGCGGCCAAGTTTTTTTTTGAGGTTTTTTCTGAGTGTTTAAGCTGCGGTATTTTTTGTGTTTTTTGTCCAAGACCTACGGCCATCTGCCGACTATTTTTATTTATCATTAATTTAAAAACATAGTATTTACCTCTTTTAAATTCTATAACAATTCTTTTTAATGTAAACTTGTTTACATTAAATGTAGTATTTTGTTCGGGAAATCCAGGTGTAATTATGGACATTTGTGTTCCATCATTTCCTTCATTTGTGCCCAAACCAGTTTCGCTTATTTTTAAAAATTAATAAATTAGTGCACAGTCAGCCTCACTATAGGATCGACCAAATATAAACCCAAATACTAGCTGGGGAGCTTCTTAACGATACCCTCTATTTAAGGTACCCCTCATTATAAGCTATCTAAGATACCTCTATTTACTAGTATGGAGTTTGTTCTCCGCGGTGAACACGTGGGGCACTTAACGGGGGCTAACTACAATTTAAGATGCCTCTTGTTATAAGATCAAATTTCCTTTCAAGTGGCTATTTAAAAACTGAGGTATTACTGTAATTGGTAATCTCAACCCCAGAAGACTTTGAATTCTTATTTTTAACCAACCTCCAGGGTTCAACAATTTCTAAAGCATTTTGAAATCCCTCATTTGCATCAACTAACTCAACTAACAATAAAGGTTTTTCTTCCCAATTCCTAAAAAATTTTTTATAACATTTTTCCCAAAATTAGCAAATAACCAAGATCTATAAACGTTAAAAAATTGTTTAATGATAAAAGATATGCTTGTAGCTTCAGGATTTTCTATACAAATTTTTGCCGACATGATAGCCAAAGAATGGCCACTTAAATAACCAGCAATGTTTGAAAAGATGAGGCGATCTAGAATAAAAATTGAAGATTCGTGGACTCAATCTAGTTTATACGTCCGATAAATCATCGGACGCATATTCCCGAAATCGGGAATTCCCGACGTTTTTTGGGTCGGGATGCCGATTCCCGAAATCGTGAATTTTGGTTATTTGTTGGCAGGATCCCTGATACATACGTGTGTCTCTCTCCCTCCACTAAATAACCAACCATTATTGTGGGTATCTACAATTGGATGTATGTGAAATAGAGGAGGATGGGATGCCCCTTCAAAAAATGTTAATAAAATTAGGGACATAATATTTTGGCCAATTAAATTAAAATAAAAATTTGATTGGTCGACCTGCTACTGGGATGCCCTTGAAAGTTGAGAGAAATTTAATAGCAATGGGGCATTTAGGAATTAAATAAAAAATAATGAATTTACTTTTTGCCCAAATCTTCACATAACGCATTAACATGAACAACAATTCTTGATTTTGACAGATATATTGTTGCCTTATATTTTTTAAACAACGAACACCTTTTTAAAATTATTTTATTATATGTTGTATTATTATAATCGGACCTTATCTTTATATACTAGTGATGTCCGGGTATCCCGATCCCGAGGTCACTTCCCGACCCAACTCAAGTTTCCCGATTCTCGAGTTTTTTCTTCTCCCGAACATCACTAGTACATATACAACTATTTTAGGTGGGTATATCCATAGATGGGTGTACCCTCGATCCAGTGTCCACTAACGTATATTAAATTGGAGTTATCTTAGGGTATCTTATATGCAGATCTTGGACTGTAAGGTGAATATATTTAATTAACCTGATAAAGCTAAAATGCTTCTTTTATCTTTATTCCATTCAATAATTTCATTATCCATTATATCAAAATTTGTTTCAATTTTTTCAAATGGAATTTGTGCATAAATTAAATCAACGTCAATTCCATTCATTTTAAATTCAAGCATCAAAATTCTCTTTGATTTTACAATATTTATATTATCCGAGCCTATAACAGTCATTAAACTTCCGTATAACCCTGAAGCATCTTTAGCGATAAAATCATAAATATTTATATATTTTGGCAAAATACACAAAACATCCATATCTGACCAATAAGCTGTTGTGTCTAATATTTCAGAACCACCCTCCAGTAATTGAAACTCTTTAAATAAATAATGTATTTTATATTTTCCGATTATTTTCCTATTTTTATATGTACTTTTGAGAAATTTGTTAGGAATTCTCTAACATTTATTATACGATACACCCAATAATGAATAAGTAGAGGTGTGTCAAAACCAGGGCTGCACGCAAATGAAAAAAATTTTCCGCAGCCGCAATCCGCAACACGCAATTTTAATTTTAAAATCCGCAAACGCAATCCAAAAGTACAAAAAAAACGCAATTTTACGCAATCCCAATAAATCTTGAGATAAAAGGAGATTAGAAGAACGTTAGCTACGCAATCATCAACTGTGCAATCCGCAATTGCGTGCAGCCCTGGTCAAAACTGATTTTAAAGGCAAAATTCGACTACAAAAGACACAAAACTGGCACACTCTTTTGCTACCGGTTGAAAGAGCCTCTAAGAGATACCCTCTATTTAACATGCATCTCATTATAAGAGACAATATTTTAATCCCAAGGTACCTTCTCCTTCGGTATTATCATTAACTATTCCTTTATTTTCTTTTACATTTTCTATCCATTGTTTAACTATTTGTACTAAACGGTTTATAACATCATTTCTATACTGAATTATCTCATCAATGATATAATATTCATTTCCTATTAATCCATTCAACTTAAATTTATTTTTAATTTAAAATGTATATAAATAAATTGTCGGACCTCACAAGTAGAATAGGGGTCAGATGGATTGACTTGGTATTGAACAGGGATACCAATTCCAATAACAGTAGTGTACGCCCCGACTCACTTTCCCGAAAGATATTTTAGATTAACCCCGACCCATCCCCGCCCCGAAAAAGTGAAACCCCCGTCCCCGACCCGAAAATTTTCGGGGTTTTCGAGGTATACACCCCATAAAATGCCTTTTTTGTGGAATTTTAAGATAAAAAATCAAAAATATTTCCTTCCAATTTACTTTGTCATTATTATTTTTGAAAGAAAAATGAATGAAATATCGAAATTCTCTTTGAATCATTCGCTAAGAGTGTGTGGCTAAATGGTTTCAGATTTTAGTTAGGAGCAGGGTTATGCAGTATTGGCTGTATCTTTTAGTAAGATCCGACTGTATAGATTATTAAAAACATACATAATAATCTGCAGCGGCCTCATTTTCTTCATGTAATGCTTTTTTCTTTTCTAACTCCTCTTTTACAATTAAAGCCTTTTTAGCTATTTGAGGAATATATCCCTCTCTTGGTCCTTTAAATTAAATTAGTTTTAATCACCTAATTAATTTCGTTAACCTTTAGTTGGTTTCTTTGTTGGAAATGTTTGTGCTGTTTTATAAACTACTTTCTCTTTTCCTTTGTTTGATTTTCCTTTGCTTGATGAGGATGTTTCTTGCAGTTCCGGCTGTATCTATATTGGTCAGATCTCGATTTTACGCACATACCAATTAGTATATACAACAGGGGTGTGCCACAACAGATTTTAAACAGCGAAAGGTGAAACTGGCACTTCCCTTATATACAACTATGGTGTTGGTTTAGAACCAAACTGGGAAACAGAGGATTTTTCTTTTCGCTTCCTTGGTTCGGTTCCTGACCAACGTTGATCTAACTTTCGTTTTGCTCCGATAAGAAATAGAAACAAGCGTCATGTCAACCCAATAGGGTTACTTTGACCCTTTTGAGATTTGATTCGAAATAAAAAAATTTCCTAAGTGTTAGGGTAGATGACACAAAAGCCCCAGGGCGTATGGTAAAATCGAAGTTCGACTATTATTAACAATTTTATATTTTTGTTTTATACCACATGATGATATTCCACTTCTTCATGTGCCTTTTTTTTGTTTTTTCCTTCAAAATTTTCAATTAATTCGCCTATATTCATACCGCATAATTTGTTAACCATAAATCCTAAAAATATATTGAAGTTTATTTGGGTAATCTTTCATGGCCGAAAAGGGGGCTGGTTAAAGCCACTTTTCCCTTCGACACGAAGATACGAAGACACTGATCTTCTAAATGTCTACATCTGGACGGGGTACAACCAATGCCGGGCAAAATCGATTTTTCCATATTCGGATTCCGGATTTGGCAATAGGACCGGACCGGATCCTGCTCAATTTTTTCTGATTAATCCAGTTTTCGAAAAAAATCCGGATTTAGGACAACATATTGGCAAAATATGGAAATCTGGGCGAAACGCCAAAATATTAAAAATATTGGTTGATAGTAGGGTTTCGCCGGAAGTTCCGGTTCCGGAAAGTTCCGGTGTTTTTTGGTTCCGGTTCCGGTTCCGGGAACCGGAACTCAAATTGGTTCCGGTTCCGGCTCCGGTTTTCAAATCGGTTCCGGGCAAACCGGAACTTTTTTACACCCCTAAAGATTGATTTTTTTTAAATATTGGGTGGCCTTCCCCGGCTGGACTTGCAATATTCTCAAAATTTTCGCCTGCGGCGCTAGAAAAGGAAGAAATCTAGCTCCTTGTCCTCACAAATTCTCAAAATTTTTGCCTGCGGCGCCAGAAAAGGAAGAAATCTGGCTTCTTATCTTTGCAAATTAACAAAATTTTCGTCTGCGGCCGCTGTTAAATGAAGTTGAATGGTATATCGGAAGATTTGGATGGATGAAGGTGGATTTAAAGTTACATCATGTGATTTCAAGGGGTCATAGGTATTATCGAGGGATTTGGGTGTGATATCGAGGGATTGAGCTGTGAAAGGTAGATATCAGGGATAGGATAGCTGGGGATTTGGCATTCCAAAACATGGCATTACTCACTTGGCCTTCCGAAATTCACAGTTATTTTTGAGAATTTGCATGGATTAATGGGGATTTGGATGATATTTGGTGATTCCGTGTATCAAGAGTTATAATGGTATAACGGTGATTTGATATCTAGGGATCTGATGGGATGAAAAATAGTTGGAAGAAATTCAGGGATCAAAGAGGATATCATATAATTAGTGTCGTATCGGGTATATCAGGGGATTTTGGTAGTTCGGTTCGGTTTTACGGTTAGGTTTTGGTTAACCGAAAGTTTCGATTCGGTTAGTCGTTTCGGTTAACACAATAATTGGGTGAAACCGACAACCCTGCTTTAAATTCAAATTTCTTTTAATTTTTTTTAACTTTTTAAATTTGCTAGCAAATTTTTTTTAAAGTTCCGGTTCCGGTTCCGGGCCGGAACTTAGAAAAGTTCCGGTTCCGGGAACCGGAACTCAAATTGGATCCGGTTCCGGTTCCGGTCAAAATTTTGGTTCCGGTGAAACCCTAGTTGATAGTAGAGGTCGGTAAAATCGCATTCACGGGATACTGTAACGAGATTTTATTCAAAAGATCGAACGAAAATGATCCCGCGGGATTAATCCAGATAACCCGTTCATCGCGTAAAACACGGGATTTGGGGACAGTATCCCGTAAAATTCCGTACGGGATCCTGTCTCCTGCCGACCTCTAGTTGATAACACAAAAACGACCTTATCTAAAACAAGAGCCGGAGTCCCCAACATCTCTTAATCCTCCAAAATCCCTTGATATTCCTCCTAATTCCCAAATCCACAAGATGCTCCCTCTAAATATCTCAACATTAATCGGTATCCCACTTGTTATCCCATTTAGTTGGATAATCTATATCCCACTAGCAATTAAGAGGGATATATTCCGCATATATTCCTCTTAATCCTTTTTAATCGTAATAACTATAGAGACTCAATGGTATATATAAAAGGGAGATACTGGAGGTCGATCGAAAAAATAAGCCCCGGGGCTTATTTTAGAGGAAATACGGTAAATTCAACCCCCATTTGTTACCATATGCTTCGCATTGCAAAAATTGTTTAAATTCTTCATTATGTAACAATTCTTTTAGTTTATTTATATGCGTTAATCTTCTTTCGTTTGCATTATTTTGTTTAGTTTGTTCATTACCAGAACTAAAATCCAAACATGAATCCCAATATCTAATTGCTTCTTTTTTAGAGTTGAAGGTAGGAGGTTGCTGTTGTTGTTGTTTTGCTCTTCTTTTTCCACCTTTTTGTGATTTTTTTGGATGAGGTTTTAATCGGGTTAAAATTTCCTCAGTGCAACTTTTGTATCTTTGAAGAAATAAATATTCATTTCCATGGTGAAATATACACATTTCTTTTTGGCTTACAAAAAATCTCTAAAAATTTTTTAAAAATTAATATTGCCACCCTTATTTGCCTTTGATACTAGAAACTCCGCAGCAACTCGAGTTTTCCGGAGTTGACACTAGTAATTCCGAGTTGACAGCTAGTCCCTGATGTCCGTCGTCTGTTCATTCCACCTTCGCCTTTATTGTACACTTCTACTTCGGATAAATCTGTATTCTTGTGTTCGTCGACTTAAGCAAATCTCGGACAACCCTCGGAGATTTGGGAACTTGCTTGCGGAAAAAAAAACATGCGGACTCAACTTAGGTCACTCTAGAAACTCTTGCTTTATGAGTCTACACAAAAGTGAAAAGATCTGTTGACCCTAGTTTTCAGAGGCAGGATATTGTGCGTTTAGTGGCTCCGGCTCCGAGGAATTCAAATTCTTGGTTCCAGCTCATGCTACGGCTCAGTGACCCCCCCCTCCACTGCTCTACAATTTTCATTACTCAATTTAATCAAGAGGAGTGAAAGTTCATTGCTAGGCGCTTTCGCTCACCACGTACAGGTGCTCTACCGGTTGAGCTATCGGCGGCTGTGCTGTATCCCTCCTAATCAAATAAACAAACTAAAAATAAATGTTGCATTCACATGCATTCACAGGCACATATATTTTGACCTCTTTCTATATTAAAAGGAATCCCGACCGTTATCAGAGTCTATCACAATTCCCGACCCTTATCTTAATATTTGTTATTCACTTGTTTTCGCCAATCTCGACTTATTAATGTCCCCTATAAATACTCATCCAAAATGGTCATTCAAATCTAATTAGAAGTGTTTTTATCAGGTCTGGCCAGACTCTTGTAATTGTCCCCTTTTCCCTCCCTTATGTATATATTTTAATTTGTAAATAGTTAGATGTAAATAAAGTTATTTAAAGAGTAGAATTTGTATAATCCTCGAAAGGCTTCGGAACCCAAACCCAACATTTGGTGCCACTTGTCCCGGGCAAGCCTTGTCGAGAGAAATGCGCATGAAATTAAAGCATAAAAAACGGAATTCCAGAAAAGTCGTAAATTAAATAATTAAATGTGCTGAAAGTAGAATAAAGAGATTAACAAATCCTCAAAAAATTGAGAGCTCGAGCTTAAACTCCTTAAATGATCTAAAATAAGAATTTTGCAAAAAGAGGTTAAATGAAGACAAAATTAGAACAAATTAGAATCGAAAGTTAAAAGTCGAAGAAAATAAAATTAAAATATTGAGCTAGAAGAATGTCATGAAATTTTTTTGTTTGGTTAAAAAGTGTTCTAAAGTTTAAAGTTTTAAAAAGTAGAAAAGATATGCTAACCGTTAGTTTTAAATCAAAATCAGAGAAACAAAGTAGCGCCGCGGTATTGAAAAATGCTCTTTGCTACCTCTTGATTATCTCTTTGCACATGTGAATAAAAGTTGTAGTACTGAAGGCAGGTGAAGCTAGGTGCACACTCTGTCGGCTAGGTGCCAGGTACTTAATATAATAATGAAAATCTGTACAGTAATAATAATAAATCAAGGCGGGTGCAGCTAGGTGCACACTCCGTCGGCTAGGTGCCTTGAGAAGGATATTAAGCGGGTAAAGCTGGGTGCATACGCCGCAGGCTTAAAAGCCAGATACTCCTTGAGATTTAAATATCTCGAAATTTTTTTTCAGTGAATATTTTGTATATGAAGATTTAAAACAACGGCAAGGTACAAAATTGAAGATAAATTTTTTTGATAATTTCTGAATGAAATGGAAAATTTGTAGAAGAGATTGAACGAAATGGAAAATGTAGAAAATACCATAGCTTAGGCTTCAAAATTGGTATCCAACGAAATTAAAGTGCAAAATTTCGTTGAGAAAGGAGAAAATTATTATATAATCAACAAAAGTAATCATGTAATGTTAGTTACCTATGAATAAGATATTAAAATATGAATTAAATTAAAAACTTGTTAGAAAGAAAAGTAAATAATAGTTCAGAAAGAACAATTTAATTCATTAGTTCAAAAAAAAACAGAAGCTATATTAAATAAATTGAGATAAAACGCTAAAATAAAAAATAACCTAAATTTGTCGAACATTTCTTAACAACATAAGAAATCTGGTCAGACCCACTTAAAATAGTAAGCGAGAATCAAATTTTAACCGTCAAATACACATTAAAAACTTAAACTGACGAGAATTGTAAAACAATTAGTATAACTTATGGAATAGTAAAACTTTCCGCTCTAAATAATTGACATTGCTAGGCTAAATTTGTGTTGAAAAAAAAAATATTTATTAGATAAAAGTAAAGGTTTAAATATTTATATGGAGGAAAAACAACAAACATTTAGAAATAGATTGTGGAAAATGACACAAATTTCAGAAAATTATGTTCAATTAAATATTTTTAGTTCAGAGGAAGAAAAATGGATATCCAGAGAATTTAAATGTTAAATTAATTTACAAATCGGTGGTTAGTTTACTTAAAATTAAATTTGAAGCTATCACTGATATTTTAACTCCTCTAAAATTAGTACAACATAATTATTTTAATTCGGCTGGAAGTGGGGATATAAATCAACCAGATTTACAAGTCTATACTGCTGGAAAACTTAATTTGCCATAAAAAATAAAAGGATTAAATAATCAAGATACCCTCCACTTGGAGGAATTTGTTTAGAAGATAGACAATTTCCAGATGCTGTTAATCATCCAAAAGTTTTTCCATCCATAATCATTTCACCAACAAATCTTACACTCGATTGAAAAAAAATGCGGAAACTTAAGCATATAGATAAACTTAAAATAAAGTAAAATACCCCTATAAAGAGAAATGGCAATAAAATTTTTTGAGATGTGAGAGAAAATGATATACTGATTAGAATCCAATTACAATACCATTAATACCGAGAATTCGCATAAAACTCCGGTCATGAAAAAAAAAATTATTTTTCTCAACTAATAACTTAAGCAAGCGTAAAATTTGAGCCCTCAGACAAAAAACACCAAACTGCGAATATTAGTTATATTAAACAGAACTAAATAAAATTTAGAAGAAAGCCAAAAATAAAAATAATTTAACAAATCCAATAGTTTCTAGTTTTCTCAAGTGAAAATAAATTTAGAATAGACTTTGGAGTTCATTTTTAAACACAATTGGAAGAAAGTCTTTAAAATTAAAAAAGGAGGTTTCGGAAAAAACTGCATTAAAAAAGCCTCTCCAATCTCCAAATTTTTGAGTAGAACTGAAAAAAATCACTAGACATGCTTTGATCACTATTATACAGGAAATGGATTTATTATAAGGAAGCAGAATGTAGAGAATTTATGTGAATCTGTAGACAATTAAAAGAAAAACAATTTCATTATAGGGGCGAACACAGAAAAAATATATTTGGACTTTTAATTAAATAATTCTCTTGATCCGATTATAATTCTCTTGATCCGATTATCACCCAACTGTTAGTATTGGGAATTCAGAAAAATATAAAAAGGTCATTGAAAAATAAGAGATAAGTGATCAAATTTTAACCGCAGATACATATTAAAATAAGTAACTTACCTTAAAGTATGCCATTGTTACAACTGTTAAAATACATAGAGCAGATGATAAACATATTTTAAAAGAATGTAAAAATACTCATAAAGAAAAGAGATGGAAACTAAATAAGATACATCCGAAGTAAGGATTTAAATAAAAAATGCCATGTGAGAGAATTGTCAATCAAGGCGAAATGACAATGTAGAAGATAATCAGTTCAGAAAATGATCCTCATTAAAAATATTAATCCTCAAACGAGAGTAGAGTTGAAAGTCATGCAAACCCACTAATTTAAAAAAAAAGGATGCTTAAACGATTTTAAAATATATATAAAATTAGGCTGTCAGATAAAATTCGGGCTCATTCAAAGACAGGCTAAATTAAAATTATAAAGAAGAAATTTTTCTATCACGAAATCAAATGATTTAACCGAGATGTTAAAACATAGCCCTGGACATAACAAATATTGGATTCCGGTTACTAGTTGCCTTTATCAATTTAAAAAAAAAAATATTAGGCAGCATTGAATAAACATTAAAAAAAATACAGAGATCGGAATAATTTAAAACAAAAACCCTCAGGTTCTTAATTGGAACTATAGAAGTAACTTTAAAAATAATTATTTCGTTGTTCAATAAAAAATACTTTGATGTAAAACCAAATCGCCGCACCTGCGAGCTTAAAAAAAATTCAACAAGCCTCGTTAATCAAATTTTAAAAGAGAATGGATATTAATCAGCAAATTAAATATTATTTTAAGTTATAACTGGTTCAGCCTAAAAGCTCACAAGGAGACTAAATAATTCCGAGTATTTTTCTTTCGAAAATTTATATGTAATTTTGCAGAGATACACAGTTCCCCGTATATCTTATAACAGGAGCTTCAAATATTGCTTAATCAGAATCTCTATGCAGAGTTGAGTAGTAACGCATTGACCAGTGCAAAAATAGAGACAACAAATATCATAATCATTAGTTCTGTAATGTAATATTTCTTTCCTCATCAGTGTTTACTTAATTCGTCGGAGAACATGGAGGTAAAAGAAGTAAAACAAAAACACATTAGAAAGAGAATTAAAGCCTTTATAATAATTACTTAAATGTAGTAAAAATAAATCCGCTGCCGTCATAAAGACGAGAAACAATACTAAATTTAAAATATAATACAAAAAAAAATATTAAAATTTTAACGATAAAGCTCGGTCAGAAAAAATATAAAATTAAAAAAAAAAGTCAGGAAATATTTTTTAAAAAACCGTCGTTCATAATTGTACTATGAGAAAATAAAAATAATGCTTAGAGAATTAAAATTAAAAAAATATATATTTTAAAATAATCCTAAATTACCCTTATTAAAGGAAAATTAATGTGCCACCCGTTTAATCGGAGAAAAGTTAGTTTAAAGAAAAGCAGTTAATTAAAAAGGCAGCCTTAGCAAATTTCCCGAAAAGTAGAACGTGGACGTTCTTTTCGAAGGGGGAAGGAATGCTGTATCCCTCCTAATCAAATAAACAAACTAAAAATAAATGTTGCATTCACATGCATTCACAGGCACATATATTTTGACCTCTTTCTATATTAAAAGGAATCCCGACCGTTATCAGAGTCTATCACAATTCCCGACCCTTATCTTAATATTTGTTATTCACTTGTTTTCGCCAATCTCGACTTATTAATGTCCCCTATAAATACTCATCCAAAATGGTCATTCAAATCTAATTAGAAGTGTTTTTATCAGGTCTGGCCAGACTCTTGTAATTGTCCCCTTTTCCCTCCCTTATGTATATATTTTAATTTGTAAATAGTTAGATGTAAATAAAGTTATTTAAAGAGTAGAATTTGTATAATCCTCGAAAGGCTTCGGAACCCAAACCCAACAGGCTGCTTTCAATTTTAAGAAATTACCTCAATCTCAGAATTTAATTTTTTTTCATTAAAATTATCCCCTTTCCAATATTGAATTTTAAACCACCTTCCTCTCAAAAATTCTATTATTTCTATTTTTACAATTTCATCTAGAAAAATTTTTTTATTTTTAAAAATTTTCAATTTACTAAAAATACCTATTCCTACTTGTATTTCACTCAATACGTTTTCTGCCCATTCCATATAAATTATATACTCCAAAACAACTAAACTTTTATAGTCAATCTTTGAATTATCTCTTGGTGTAAAATTTATTTTGTATAAATCTTTGATTAATTCCTCAGAATTTACTAAATATTTTGACAATTTTTTTAATTAAAATTTTCGGTTCGGATATACTTTAGCCGGTGGCCGGTTCGAAAGCCCTTCGAAATATAATATACCATTCGATTCGTCTCGGCGGGTGAGTCGAATGATACCAATCCCAGGGTGCAGAAACTCCTGTGGACCGAGATATAGGTCCCCGAAAATAAACCTTAGGGGGGAGTAAGCTCAATTTTGGGGTTAGAAATTCAATTATACAAATGATAGCTCAATAATAGCTCATTCGAAAAAGCTCATCGAGCTGAGTCGATGACATCAAAATCACCGTGACTGAACGAGATTGGACACAGTTACAATGGAAAACAACGTAAACCTATGGGGTGTAGGCGAGGCGCTTGTGCAAAACCCCGCGTTTCGCGCGGGGTTGAAGAGAGAGGGCCTTGAAGGAACCCGCGCGTGCGGGGTTTAAGGGAGAGGGCCTTGAAGGGAGTCCAATCCATATTTAAAAAAACAAATCCTTAGTGGTAAAAAAGTTCCGGTTTGCCCGGATCCGATTTGTAATCCGGAGCCGGATCCAATTTGAGTTTCGGTTCCCGGAACAAAAAAACATTGGAACTTTCCGGAACTTCCGGTGCCAGTCACTACTAAATATCCCTTAAATTAAATGTTTAAGAATAACCGTTACTTACTCATTAAACGAGAAAAAGCTGGAATTGTTTTAGAAAGTATAGCAAATCTTTCTACCCCAAAAATATTTTCAAATTTCCATCTGATTGTCATCAATCCACTTTCATTAGTATTATCAATAGTATCTCTTAAATACATATTTAAAAATTCTTTAGCAAATTTTCAAAAAACCTAAGAAATTCCAAAAAAATTTTATTTTCCATAACCGAAAAATAAAATTCAATAAAAATTCCTTCTACAATCATGCCTTTTAAATATTCATTTCTTTCTAAAATATTATCTTCTCTATGACAATTAAACATTTGTTCACTGTTACTACTTGTTGAATTATTTATGTAGAATTTTAAATGAGCAAAAATGTGCATAATATAACAAAGTTGAATATTATTTCTCAGTTCAGGTTTCTTTAGTGCTGATTTTGCACTAAAATTTAGACAAAATTTTAGAAAAAAATTTTTTTATTATTACAATTTGACTATTCTGAAGTTAACTTGGCTCTATTATACAATATAAGACCAATCACACTTTATGAGTCTTCATGTTTGGCACCTACGCCCACTGGGTTTGGGACCGTTATTTACCCTATCTCTCGAAATTTCTGAAAGTTTAGCCAATTTTTTAAAATTGCGAGAAACGATTATAATTTTCAGACAGAGGAATGGGGTATGGAACGACCGCAGAACTTCGTTCTTCCGTCTTCTACTACCCAGCCTTCATTCTCTTGTGTATTTCTGCGTGCAATAAACTTTGTTGTGAGCGTGTTCGTCCAGATTTGCTAGGGCTCTGATGGGACGCTATTTTGGGGACTATTTTTGGGACGCATAAAAGTCTATGGGACGCTTAAAAGCTCATGGGACGCATGTTCATATCTAGAGCTTTCTTTTCTGTTGGCTATATGGTATCCATGAAGTAAATTTTAACATACCTATTGAAATATTCTATTAAATTCAATTTATATCCAGCTAATAAAATGACCTTCTGTTCCAATTTATCTTGTATTTCAGCTCCATATCTCTCTATTAACCTCGCATTTATAGAAAGATATGTTGCTAATGATATTTTAAATTTAACTTTTTCTACTTCTTCGTTTGTGTTAGCTGATAAATACTCTTTATAGTACTCAACTAACACTTGGTTTTTGTTATCTATCAACAATGGATTTTTAAAAAAAGCCTTCTCAACCCCAAGAGGGTTTTGAATGAACAGTTTTTCCATCCCTAAATTATTTTTAATATTTTTATAAAACGATATAACTTTTTCAAAAAAAATTTTTTCAATATCAAATTTAATATTTAAGGTAATCTTCGGTTCGTATTACCCCTTCATTTTTCTGACCATTTCTGAGTCAACTTCATTAACACTTACGCTTATAAGATGACCACACTGACTCTATATTCTGTGCACTACAGAGTTAACTTCATTAACAAAGTTTTTTAAATTATTAACGGTCCCATTATCCCATTAGTATATCCTTCTGGAAGTCGGGGACTCGAGTTGTAAGCCTTCCATAGGTCGGAATAGCTTATGGTCGGAATAGGTTGTAATGAATAGTCGAAAGGTTCAAATTTTCATTGATAAATATTAAAAATTCGGGTACAGCCCAGGAAGACCATGCCAGGCCTACCCTCCGTAGCAGCACAAAAAGTTTTTCCAGCGAATCTTCAATTGGTCATAATTTTGTCAAAAAATGTCGAACATTTCCGGTGGGGAGAGTGGTACCCGAGACGAACCAAATGGCACATCTCGAAGGTTTCTAAAACATATAGGGTCACCACTTCTGACACACCCTAAGTATATCGGCATTCTATTCTATTCCAAGCCTTTCTAATATTCTATCGTCCTTTGACTTATCTGTTGCTAGATATCTACAGCAGGGATGCGCAATGTCGAGAAAAAACTCGGGTATGATTTCGGTTCAGAGAAAATTGTCCGGGTTTTGGGTATCGGATAACCTAGCCCATGCCTGATCTACATATAAAGATATCCCTAACTGCAACCTTAGCCTTTACTTTCAGTTTATATTTTTTATAAAAAAAATTTTTTTAAAGAAAATTTCTAACCGCCGGCAATTTTTTTCAAGTTTTTCATTGCTATTGAAAACGAGAAAAGTAATAAAAAAATAAAAATTACTCGACATTTCATTTTAAATCTAATTTTAAAACTTTTTAATAAATATATAAAAATAATTTTTAAAGAAAAATTTAAATAAATAAATTTAAATTGGGAAGAATTTTTATAAGACTGTTGAGTGGGAGTGTTGACTCAATAAAAATGGCACGTGTCTTGAGACAGTAAGGAGAAAAGTAAGGAGAGAAAGACAGTAAGGAGAGAAAAGCGCTCACGATTTTGATTTCCCTTATGAATGCTATTTGCTATCTCAAGCATAAAGCAGTGCCTTACTGACAGGGTTAGAGAGAGAGAAGGGTGAGTGACTAAATTTTTAGCCCTTATATTGAATAAAATTAAGATTAAAAATTAATTAAAAATGAGGCAGACAATGAGGCCTTGTCAAATTTTGTAAACAACTTCTACGAGCGGGGCTGTAGTTTGGTGGGGTAGTTAGGCGGGTAGTAGACCTCAGCTCAATTTAGTTCAAATTTGTTCAATTTTACTCAATTAAAAAAAATTTCCTCTAAAATCAAAAAAAAATTTTTTAAGGTAAACACTGCATGAGCGCTGCGGATTCGTCCCCCTCTGATTCGTCCCATTTAAAAATGTCCATAGCCTTCCAAAATTCTTAAAATTTTCGCCTTGCGGCGCTGAAAAATTGAGTCCTATAGTATTTAGTCACCCGATCACGTCGTTGGGGACTGAGGGGTCCATGTAAATAATCGCTAATTAATTCCATTTAAGTAGGTCAAAATTTGGACCTAACTAAAAGGGTTAGGGACATCCGGTGCAATCTCTGGGACCCATCAATCCTAAAGGTGTAAAATAATAATTATTTTACCTTTGAGGAATGAATTAAGGCTGTAGTGTAGGTACCGATGGTAAAAGTTCGGGACGTTACATATGTATGTAATTCAATTTGTCTCGACGAGCTCCCGTTGTTGGAACAACGTTCCTCTTTGTTCTTCCGTTTTAACGCCGCAGGCAAAAATTTTAAAATTTTGGAATGCCAATAGGCAATATTTCTTAAAATTTTGTAAATAAGAAATTTTGAAAATTATCGGAATTTCGGAACTCGGAAATCGGAAGAAAAAATGTCGGAAATCGGAATTCCGACCCACCTCTGCTGCCGTCTAAAATTTCTATTACTTTGTGCGTGGATTAAAAGAGATCTCGAGGGACTAGTGATATTGAGGGATATTTGGCAAGATTAAGGTGATATTGTGGTATTGGCGAGATTAAGGGGATATCGGGGGATTTAGTGTATATTTTGATTTTATGGATTAAGCGAATATCGGTGGTTTTGGGAGGGGGATATAGAAGATATCTCTTTTATCCCTCTTAATATCCTTCTTGATCGATATCTAAAGCGGTATACTCCAAAGTAAATTTGGATATATCGTGGGATTTTAATAGGATATCGGAGGATTAAGGTTATCTATGTCGATTTAAGGGATTTTTTGAAATGAAAAAAGTTTACACAAATGATAGCTCATTTGAAAGAGCTCGACAGCTAAGTCGAATGATACAAAGATCACTGTGATTGAACAAGATTAGACAAAGTTACGACACAAAAACAAGCAACATAAACCTATGTGGCGCTCAACTGGCCGCGCTCAACTGGCCCGGTCTCAAATGGCCGCGCTCAACTGGCCCGGTCTCAAAGCTCAACTGGCCCGTTCCGTCTTTCAAGTTGATAAAGTCTCAAGCTTTTTTCGTTGCTACGTTTTATAAATGTGATACATTTTCAATCTTCTATTGACTGGTTTATCGCAGGGAAATAGATAAAATTAAGGTTAAAAGAGAATCTGACAATTATGAGCCTTTTAAGGAAGGAAAAATTTTTAAAGAAAAGTGGAGTTATTCGCCTTCTAAATTACCCCAATTTCAGTCTAGTTGTTTTAAAAATAATTATTTAATACAACAAAAATGCAATCTCAACAACAAAAAGTAGGAATGGGAATACCTGCTGATCGTTCTGCTCGTTCAATTTTTGGTAAAATTTGAAAAATTAATTTTTTCACAAAAATTTTTTTCCAATAAAATTTTTTTTTCAAGTTGGAAATATTTCTTATGATGTTAATGAAGAGGAAATTAAAAAAATATTTTCTGCGGTATAATTTTTTTATAAGAAAATTTTTAAAAAATTTCGACCCTATCACAAAGGAAGGGCGGAATCGTTTTTTTCATTACTTGCCAGGAAGGGAAAAATGTTCAGAAAAATTGGAGAAAATGGAAAGGAAAAACGGAGGCGGATGGACCCGGATGGACAACATGGACGGCTATCAATTTCTAAAACATTTCAGTCCTTGTTTTGAGTCCGAGTCCGTCCGTCTCCATTTTCCCTCCTTGCAGGTAATGAAAAAACGATTCCGCCCTTCTTTTGGAAAAGGCCAAAATTTTATTTTCAGTGTGGACAAATCATTGGTTTTCGTTTAATGTATGATAGAGACACGGGAAGGCCTAAAGGTTTTGGTTTTTGTGAATTTACGGATGTTCAACATGCTGAGGCTGCTATACGGAATTTTAATGGTTATGAATTACACGGAAGACAGTTGAGGGTGGATTCGGCGACGGGAAATGAATCTGAGGTTTTTTTGAAAATTAATTTTTGGGCGAAAGGCTATCGAGCAGAATTGAACCTGCGAGCTTCTGACCCGTACAATAAATTTGGGATTGAATTATTGATTTGGTTAACCATTAGAGATCGGTATTTTTGAAAATCCTGGGCCTGTTCCTAGGTTCTTGTTTGATTTGTTGTCCTGGGCCGGATCCTGGGTCCAGGAAAACCCAGACCCAGGACGGTCAAAAAATTGCCTGGTTTTGGGTCTATGAAAAGCCCAGGCCTTGGTCCAAACCCAGGCCGATCTCTAGTAGCTATATTAAATCATTTTGGGGAAATGCCTCCCTCCTTATCCCAATTCCGGGTGTTAATTTATTTGATAACGCAGTTATAAGTTTAGGTGTCTTATTGATTGAATTATCTGAGGGGAGGTGCTTTCAAATTTTGGTCTCTCCCTTTACTTTTTTTAAATGATCTCTAGCTGGTTCTTCAACTCTTTTATTTAAATAAATTATTCTGGGTATTAGTTCTCTTATTTAATTACTTTAAAAAATTTTTTCGTTTTGTAAGTTACAGGATTTTCGTTAAAAAAATCCTAAAGGTTAGGATTCCGGCCAAATTTTTTAACCTTTTTGGTCCTCTTTGAGCCTCATTATATTTTTATCTATAAAATTTAAAGTCCTAATAATTTATTTTCAAGCAACAACAACAATTCCAACAATTTCAAATTCCAGTAAATCCACCCCAACCGGTTATACCCATTCCTGAAGAAAATCCTTATGGGCCAGAACCCGAACCTGGAAAGGCTCCAGAAGCCATTGCTCGGACTGTTGCTTCTATGCCGCCTGAAAAAATGTTTGAATTGATGAGGTCGATGAAAGAAACTGTTAATAATAATCCGCAAATGGCTAGGCAACTTCTTATTGAAAATCCGCAACTTGCTTATGCTCTTTTGCAGGTTTTTTTGAGAATATATTTTGTGGATTTTGGGTGGGTTAGTGACTTAAAAGTTATTTTGGGGGGCATTTTCGGGCCTTTTCTTGTCTCTTGACAAGAGTCGTCGCTTTATGTTTCGTTTCTCTGGGTCAGTTCCGTATACCCGAAAATTTTCCATACCCGAAGATTTTCCATCTTACAAGGGAACATTCCAAACTACTTAAAAACTTCGTAAATTTTTTTGCATCACCATGTAAAGCAGGGTCGATAACCTATGGTCATTCTTTGGCTTTGTTGGCCCTGACCTCCATATCGAAAAGATAGGGCTTCAAAGTTTTCGAATTTTGAAGGGTCGAGTCTCCCTCTTTTTTCATACTAAAGAGACTCGGCCCTAATCATTTTGTAATAAAACGAATATCCCTTCGTAATAGGCAGTCTGGGGTCCTCTGTCGAGGGGGGTCCTCTGTCGAGTCTGGGGTCCTCTGTCGGGCAAAAAATATATCAAATTCACGGTGACATTAGATGGTCCCGTTTAATATTTTTATCCTTATTTCAGTCTTATCTTAAATAACATCCAAAATTTTTTTCTCAATATTTTTTAGAGTTCTATCTGGGCTAGTATCAAGGCCTGGATCTTTCCTGCATCTAGAGTTCAGGCCCAAGCATTTTTTACCTTCCTGGATTTTCCCTTGGTCTGGCCTATGATTCGGCCCATTTCAATCAGAGTTTAGGAATTTTTTAATTCATTTTCAATTTTTTTTCAGGCCCAAGTAGTTATGCGCGTTGTAGACCCAAAAGTAGCTTATTCAATGCTTCATCGAGAACAAGCCCAAACACTCTCAACATCTTCCGGAGCTCTACAACAACATTCCCAATTTCCAGGGCAGCAACTGATCCGAGAACCTTTTGGTTCTCGGATCAGTTCCGGATACCCGAAAATTTTCCATCTTGCAAGGGAACATTCCGAACTATGTAAAAACTTTTAAATTTTTTTGCTTCGCCGTGTAGAGCAGGGTCGATAAACTATTGCCAGTTTTTGGCTTTCTTGGCCTTGACCTCCATTTCGAAAATTATAGGGCTTCAAAGTTTTCGAATTTTGGAGCGAATTTTGACCCTCATTTTTCCTGTTAAAGAGAATCGGCCCAAAGTCATTCTGCAAGAGGACGAAAATCACTTTGTAATAGGTAGTCTGGAGTCCTCTACCGAATAGTACCAAAAAATATATCAAATTCACGGTGACATTAGACGGTCCCGTATTAATATTTGTATCCTTATTCCAGTCCTATTTTAAGCTCCAAAATTCTCTTTCCTAATATTTTTAGAGATCGATCTGGGTCAATCAAGGCCTGAATCTTTCCTGTATCTAGAGTCTAGGCCCAAGCATTTTTTTACTTTCCTGGGTTTTCCTGGGCTACAGTCCCAGAATCCGGCCGATATCAATAAATCATACTCAGAGTCCAGGAATCTTTCATTTCCTTTTTGTCAATTTTTTTCAGGCCCAAGTTGTTATGCGCGTTGTAGACCCAAAAGTAGCTTATTCAATGCTTCATCGAGAACAAGCCCAAACACTCTCAACATCTTCCGGAGCTCTACAACAACATTCCCAATTTCCAGGGCAGCAACAACCTCCTTCTTCCCAACAACAATTTCAACCACAAAATCTTCCTCCACAATTTAATATGCCTCCACCTCCAGTTATTGCTGCGTCTGGAGGACAGTTTCATCAATTTCCTCCACAAAATGCTATGGGAATGGGTACAAATGTTATGCAACAACAACCGCCAGCACATGGAGGATTTCAATCTAAACAACAAAGTGTTCAACAGGTTTTTTTGAAAATTATTTTTGGGTTTATAAGCCTCTTGGGGAAGGGCACATCCCTGATCTTCAAGTGGGTGGCTCCTGGGACTATAGCCTCTCCCCCCCCCTCCTGAAATGGGGAAATGAAAAAAATTTTAGTGGTGTGCACATCCCTGACTAGAGACCGGAACGAGACATCTCGTACAATACTCCCAGTTCAGTCTCTATCCATTACCTTTCTAACTAAGAAATTCAAGTTGGGCGAGTTATTCAACCCTCCTTACCCAGCGATTTTTTAGGTTACTAGGGATGGGCCCTTCCACATCTTTTAAAGGTGGATGTCTCCAATTCATGTTCTGATATTCTTTTTTATGTTATACTTTCAGCTTGGGTAGCACCCCGAGTCTTCGGGGGCGGAAGTGTCGGGTTTTGGGGTTTGCCGGTGTTGAGCCTTTGAGGTTCGGGTTGGGGGTTTTGCCGAAAAAATAGTCGGGGGACGGGGTCTTACCCTACTCTCAACTAAATTTATTTTGGAGAGTTTTATTTGGTTGTTTAACCTCAAAAAAAAGATTTTTTCCCGGACCAAAGGATTTCCCATCTTTTTTCTTTTTTTGTTGGTTAATCTCTATAATTTAAACAAGAAAGCGATTTTATTATAAAAAATAAATTTTAGATTCAACAACCACAACTTCAACATACTCAAACTTCACCTCAACAGCAAATTCCTCCACAACAGCAACAAGTACAATCTTCTCAGGATAATTTGGACGAGGAACAACAAGCACAAATGCTTGTATGTGGTTTTAATTTAATTTAAAATTTTAATTATTTTTTTTGAAAATAAGGAATGGAGTTTTATAAAACAGCTTTTTACTTTTTGGGAGGGAGAAGAAACTAAAAAATTCTTTTTGAAAAATTTTTTGGAAATTTTTCAAAATTTTTTTAAAATTTTCAAAAAAAATTTCGAAAAATTTTCAGTAAATTTATTAAAAAATTTTTTTTATTTTCAAAATTTTTTCAAAAATTTTCTTGAAAATTTCCAAAAAAAAATAATTTTTCTAGGTTCGTTTTCAAAAAATTTTTTTTGAAAAATTTTAGAAATTTTTTCAAAATTTTTAAAAAAATTTTGAAACATTTTCAGGAAATTTTTAGAAATTTTTGAAAAAATTTTTTTGAAAATTTTTAAAATTTTTTTAAATTTTTCCAAAAATTCCAAAAAAAATAATTATATTTATTTTCCAGGTTCGTGTATTACAATTAACTGATGAACAAATAAGAATGTTGCCACCAACTGAACGTGCTCAAGTAATTGAATTACGTAATCAATTAAGAAATGCTGGGGCAACTGCTTAAATGAGGAGAAAATAAATTTTATTTTTTTGGGGAGTGAAAAAAGAATAATTGTTGAATTGTTGGGAAAGGGAGGTTTTTTTCTATTATTTTATTTATTTAATTTTTTTAACTGACAATGAGTTGATACAAATAAACAAAATTGTTTAATATTTTTTGGTTTACAAATTAAATTTTATTATAAACCTGTAGCTAGGGAACAGGGAAAAAATGGGAAATTTTTTGTGGTAAATTAGAAAAATGTGAACCCAAAATCTCAGACTTCTTGGCCTTCTAAAATCAAAAAAAATTTTGGCTGCGGCCTGAAAAACTAAAAATATTTAAAAAAATATTTGCGTTCGTAACGCCTAAATTTTGGCGCACACCCTATTTTAGCCTGCTGAAATATTCCCTGGATACGCTCTTGACCCTTAGGGTTTTACTATATCGGTTACAGTTTTGTTTAATCTAAAAATTTTTACTCGATTTTGAAGACAAATTTTCTGTCTAAATTGAAGTTTCGAAAAAGAAAATTTAAAAATTTTCTTTTTCCTCGGCTCAAGCCGGCCTCAAATTAAAATACCTATTTGTACAAAAAAAATTTTATCCAGTCTTTTTTTCAGTAAATTTATTTTATTGTCTGTATCCTTTTCCTCTTTTTTACTTTTACTCTAAAAATTGACTCTAAATTTATTTTTGTTTCAACTTACTCCCTCGAAGGCGTTAAAAATGAAGTGAAAAAAAATAAAAACAAGAATTATAACAAACATCAATATGTATGTGATCGGGTCAAAAACAAGAAAAATAAAAATTATTTTTCTTTAAAAAATTATTTTTTCTCTTTCCCTTTCTAATGAAGGTTGAGAAAAAATTAAATTCTTCTTCTGACAGCTCTTTTGACAACAATAACAGTAAAAATGAATTTAAACAACACCCTTTGTTTGTCCGTTTAAAGTTACGTTCACTTTGTATGGTTGGCGCTCTTTTACCGGGTAATCTGGGGCTCTAATTAATATTATCCTCTTTCCAAAGTATTGAATGATTCCGTGGTTTTGGTTCAAGAAGGCTTTGTTTCTTTTAATTGAGAGAACAATAACTCTAATCGGTTGGGTTCTAAAAGATCGGACTGGTAATGATGTTCGAGATCGATATCTCGAAGAATATCATTCTCTATAACCTAGCTTTTTGTTCAAGAACTCGCCTCTGCCCGATCCCAGTCCACAACATATCCGAGGTTACTTGGAACAGGAGTCGACACGAGACGGATCTTTCTACATCCCGTCCCAAACAAATTTTTTTTCATTTTTTCAGGCTTGACGAGATTCTGAGATTTTTGGGTTTAATCACACAGAATTCCGACTTGTTAATACATTTTAAGACACTAGTCTCTGTACCTACATATAAATTGCAAGTTTACTGACCTCCATTTTGGGCTCCTTTTAGAATCAAAAAAAAATTCAACTTTTAATTTTTGTTTCTGATTAAAATTTTACTCCCTTCAATTTTAATAAGGAGTTGGATGTTATACTTGCCTTCTCTACACATTTATTTTCCAACGAGAACGAATCGACAATTTTGTAACAACAAATTGCCCTAAAGTTCACAGTTCATTCCCCCCAGTTTCCTACTCTATAGGTGTTTGGGAGCCTCAAAAATCTTTTTGGCTTTTTGTTCTTTTCATTCATGTTCAGGCACGGATATTTTTTGGAGTTGTAAGTTGGAGTTAAATGTAAAGAAAAAATTTTTCTTTAAATTTTTCGGCATATAAAGGAAATTTTGAATTGGGAGAGTCTGAATATAAACAAAGAAATTGGTATATTCCAATGTTGAAGACACACATGTTTTTAATTTTTTCTGAAATTGTTGGGCTGGTTCTTGTTTCTGTTGTTGATATTGAAGAATATTTTGGTAAAGTAATGTTTTTAATATTTAAAATTTAAATTTGTGGGGAAGTTTTCGAAATGTCAAAACGTCAAAAATTTTTAAAAATGTCGAAAAGTCAAAAAATTTTCAAAATGTCAAAAAGTCAAAAAAAATTTCAAAATGTCAAAAGTCAAAAAAAAATTTCAAAATGTCAAAAAGTCAAAAAAATTTCAAAATGTCAAAAAGTCAAAAAATTTTTAAAATGTCAAAAAGTCAAAAAAAATTTCAAAATGTCGAAAAGTCAAAAAATTTTCAAAATGTCAAAAAGTCAAAAAAAATTTCAAAATGTCAAAAGTCAAAAAAAAATTTCAAAATTTCGAAAAGTCAAAAAAATTTCAAAATGTCAAAAAGTCAAAAATTTTCAAAATGTCAAAAAACACAAAAATTTCAAAATGTCAAAAAGTCAAAAAATTTTCAAAATGTCAAAAAGACAAAATTTTTTAAAATGTCAAGATTTCAAAATGTAAATTTTAAAAAATTTCTCTCAGTTTTTCATGCAATTGGTTACGCTCTGTGGCTAATTTCTTTTAATTTTAATGTACTTTGTAACACGATACTCTTTTATCACTCAGGTATCACGTCACTTTGGGAAAATGTAAAAATAAATTTTAATTAATTTTTATTTTTAAAATTTAGTTGAATTTTATTTTTCGCTTCAAATGTGTTTTAGGATATTTAATTATTTATCCATTATCTGTATCTACAGGCTTTACTTATTTTGGATATCTCTATACCTGCAATGTTTTATTTAAGTTTTTAAATCTTCGTTTCGGGGATATTTTTATTCCGGGACGTTATAGTCTCAATACGAAAATTTTTATTTGAGGACGTTGGAGTCTTGGCTGTTGACCCCTTAGGCCTCTTAGGGTTAAGAATACTCTAATGAACCCATATTTTAAAGATTGAATGCCTGTGACTCTAGTGTCCTCAGATTTCAAAGAGTTAATAAATGAAACTCTAATATTCTCAACCCTAATGGGGCTCCAAGGCTGGAGAGACTAGAGAACTCTAAGAGCTCCAAGAAACCCCTTAAGATTGATTGGATTTTGGTTGGTTTTGGACTTAAAAATTGTTTTGGGAGCACTTTCTTGTTCTCGATTTTCTGTCTCTTGATAAGAGTCATCGGTTTTCCTTTTGGTTCTCGGATCAGTTCCGGATACCCGAAAATTTTCCATCTTGCAAGGGAACATTCCGAACTATGTAAAAACTTTTAAATTTTTTTGCTTCGCCGTGTAGAGCAGGGTCGATAAACTATTGCCAGTTTTTGGCTTTCTTGGCCTTGACCTCCATTTCGAAAATTATAGGGCTTCAAAGTTTTCGAATTTTGGAGCGAATTTTGACCCTCATTTTTCCTGTTAAAGAGAATCGGCCCAAAGTCATTCTGCAAGAGGACGAAAATCACTTTGTAATAGGTAGTCTGGAGTCCTCTACCGAATAGTACCAAAAAATATATCAAATTCACGGTGACATTAGACGGTCCCGTATTAATATTTGTATCCTTATTCCAGTCCTATTTTAAGCTCCAAAATTCTCTTTCCTAATATTTTTAGAGATCGATCTGGGTCAATCAAGGCCTGAATCTTTCCTGTATCTAGAGTCTAGGCCCAAGCATTTTTTTACTTTCCTGGGTTTTCCTGGGCTACAGTCCCAGAATCCGGCCGATATCAATAAATCATACTCAGAGTCCAGGAATCTTTCATTTCCTTTTTGTCAATTTTTTTCAGGCCCAAGTTGTTATGCGCGTTGTAGACCCAAAAGTAGCTTATTCAATGCTTCATCGAGAACAAGCCCAAACACTTTCAACATCTTCCGCAGCCTTACAACAACATTCTCAATTTCCAGGGCAGCAACAACCACCTTCTTCCCAACAACAATTTCAACCACAAAATCTTCCTCCACAATTTAATATGCCTCCACCGCCAGTTATTGCTGCGTCTGGAGGACAATTTCACCAATTTCCTCCACAAAATGCTATGGGAATGAGTACAAATGTTTTGCAACAACAACCACCAACGCATGGAGGATTTCAATCGAAACAACAAAATGTTCAACAGGTTTTTTGGGAAATTTATTTTTTGTTTAAAAGCTTCTTTGGGAAGGACACATCCATGAATTTTATATGAAATCATGCCCGTAGCCAGGGGGTAGGCCCCCCTCACCCGAAAAAATCCTGGCTACGGGCCGGTAAGAAATTCAAGTTGGACGAGTTATTCAACCCTCCTTACCCAAAGATTTTTTAGGTTACTAGGGATGGGTCCTTGTATATTTTTAAAGGCGGAAGAGCTCCAATCCATATTATTTCTGTTCAGGCATGATCACGGATACTGATCTTGGTATCCGTATCCGCATATTTACGTCGGATACAGACGGATATCCGCAGGCATTTTGATATTAACAGTATCCGTATCCATGACCATGCCTGTTTCTGTTATTCTTTTTTATGTGATACTTTCAACTTGGGTAGCACCCCGAGCCTTCGGGGTCGGAAGTGTCGGGTTTCGGGGTTTGCCGGTGTAGTGCCTTCGAGGTTCGGGTTGGGGGTTTTGGCAAAAAAATAGTCAGGGGACGGGATCCTACCCTATTTTCAACTAAATTTATTTTGGAGAGTTTTATTTGGTTGTTTAACCTCAAAAAAAGTTTTTTCCCCATACCAACGGATTTCCACTTTTTTCCTTATTTGTTGGTTAATCTCTCCATAATTTAGACAAGAAAACGTTTTTTTTTTTTAGATTCAACAACCACAACTTCAACATACTCAAACTTCACCCCAACAACAAATTCCTCCACAACAGCAACAAGTACAATCTTCTCAAGACAATTTGGACGAGGAACAACAAGCACAAATGCTTGTATGTGGTTTTTTTTTGATTTTAAATTAAATTTTTAATTATTTTTTTTTGGCTCATTGATTTTGGGGAGGGAGAAGAAACTAAAAAATTTTTTTTCGAAAATTTAAAGAAAAATTTTTTCAGAAATTTTCAAAAAAAAATTTTTTTTTTAATTTTGAAAAAATTTTTAAAAAATTTTCAACAATTTTTTGAAATTTTTTTAAAAAATTTTTCAAATTTTTGAAAATCCCAAAAAAAAAAAATAATTTTTTCCAGGTTCGTGTATTACAATTAACTGATGAACAAATAAGAATGTTGCCACCAACTGAACGTGCTCAAGTAATTGAATTACGTAATCAATTAAGAAATGCTGGGGCAACTGCTTGATGAGGAAAAAAATTTTTTTGGGGAGTAAAAAAAATTGTTGAATTATGGGGAAAGGGAAGAAGTTTTTTTTCTATTATTTTATTTATTTAATTTTTTTAACTGACAAAATAAACAAAATTATTAATAAATATTTTTTTGTTCTACAAGTTGTAATTTTATTAGAAACTTGTAGCTAGGGCACCAATTTCAGTCAATAAATAAGTGAAACATAATAAAAAACATAAAATGCATGTAAAAAATATTTGCGTTTATAACGCCAAAATTTTGGCGCACACTCATTTTAGCCTTCTGAAATATTCCCTGGATACGCTCTTGACCCGTAGGGTTTTACTATATCGGTTACAGTTTTGTTTAGCCTAGAGAAATTTTATACTCGATTTTGAGGGATGAATTTTTCTGTTCCAAATGTGTTCCAATGAATTTTGTATTCCAATTCTGTTCCAATGTTTCATTTGATCCGAAAAATTTTTTTCTCCAAGTTTTTTATTTCAGTAAATTTGTTTAATTATTGTCTATATCTTTCTCTCTTTTACTCTAAAAATTGACTCTAAATTTACTATTTTTGTTTCAACTTACTCCCTCGAAGGCGTTAAAAATGAAGTGAAAAAAAATAAAAACAAGAATTATAACAAACATCAATATGTATGTGATCGGGTCAAAAACAAGAAAAATAAAAATTATTTTTCTTTAAAAAATTATTTTTTCTCTTTCCCTTTCTAATGAAGGTTGAGAAAAAATTAAATTCTTCTTCTGACAGCTCTTTTGACAACAATAACAGTAAAAATGAATTTAAACAACACCCTTTGTTTGTCCGTTTAAAGTTACGTTCACTTTGTATGGTTGGCGCTCTTTTACCGGGTAATCTGGGGCTCTAATTAATATTATCCTCTTTCCAAAGTATTGAATGATTCCGTGGTTTTGGTTCAAGAAGGCTTTGTTTCTTTTAATTGAGAGAACAATAACTCTAATCGGTTGGGTTCTAAAAGATCGGACTGGTAATGATGTTCGAGATCGATATCTCGAAGAATATCATTCTCTATAACCTAGCTTTTTGTTCAAGAACTCGCCTCTGCCCGATCCCAGTCCACAACATATCCGAGGTTACTTGGAACAGGAGTCGACACGAGACGGATCTTTCTACATCCCGTCCCAAACAAATTTTTTTTCATTTTTTCAGGCTTGACGAGATTCTGAGATTTTTGGGTTTAATCACACAGAATTCCGACTTGTTAATACATTTTAAGACACTAGTCTCTGTACCTACATATAAATTGCAAGTTTACTGACCTCCATTTTGGGCTCCTTTTAGAATCAAAAAAAAATTCAACTTTTAATTTTTGTTTCTGATTAAAATTTTACTCCCTTCAATTTTAATAAGGAGTTGGATGTTATACTTGCCTTCTCTACACATTTATTTTCCAACGAGAACGAATCGACAATTTTGTAACAACAAATTGCCCTAAAGTTCACAGTTCATTCCCCCCAGTTTCCTACTCTATAGGTGTTTGGGAGCCTCAAAAATCTTTTTGGCTTTTTGTTCTTTTCATTCATGTTCAGGCACGGATATTTTTTGGAGTTGTAAGTTGGAGTTAAATGTAAAGAAAAAATTTTTCTTTAAATTTTTCGGCATATAAAGGAAATTTTGAATTGGGAGAGTCTGAATATAAACAAAGAAATTGGTATATTCCAATGTTGAAGACACACATGTTTTTAATTTTTTCTGAAATTGTTGGGCTGGTTCTTGTTTCTGTTGTTGATATTGAAGAATATTTTGGTAAAGTAATGTTTTTAATATTTAAAATTTAAATTTGTGGGGAAGTTTTCGAAATGTCAAAACGTCAAAAATTTTTAAAAATGTCGAAAAGTCAAAAAATTTTCAAAATGTCAAAAAGTCAAAAAAAATTTCAAAATGTCAAAAGTCAAAAAAAAATTTCAAAATGTCAAAAAGTCAAAAAAATTTCAAAATGTCAAAAAGTCAAAAAATTTTTAAAATGTCAAAAAGTCAAAAAAAATTTCAAAATGTCGAAAAGTCAAAAAATTTTCAAAATGTCAAAAAGTCAAAAAAAATTTCAAAATGTCAAAAGTCAAAAAAAAATTTCAAAATTTCGAAAAGTCAAAAAAATTTCAAAATGTCAAAAAGTCAAAAATTTTCAAAATGTCAAAAAACACAAAAATTTCAAAATGTCAAAAAGTCAAAAAATTTTCAAAATGTCAAAAAGACAAAATTTTTTAAAATGTCAAGATTTCAAAATGTAAATTTTAAAAAATTTCTCTCAGTTTTTCATGCAATTGGTTACGCTCTGTGGCTAATTTCTTTTAATTTTAATGTACTTTGTAACACGATACTCTTTTATCACTCAGGTATCACGTCACTTTGGGAAAATGTAAAAATAAATTTTAATTAATTTTTATTTTTAAAATTTAGTTGAATTTTATTTTTCGCTTCAAATGTGTTTTAGGATATTTAATTATTTATCCATTATCTGTATCTACAGGCTTTACTTATTTTGGATATCTCTATACCTGCAATGTTTTATTTAAGTTTTTAAATCTTCGTTTCGGGGATATTTTTATTCCGGGACGTTATAGTCTCAATACGAAAATTTTTATTTGAGGACGTTGGAGTCTTGGCTGTTGACCCCTTAGGCCTCTTAGGGTTAAGAATACTCTAATGAACCCATATTTTAAAGATTGAATGCCTGTGACTCTAGTGTCCTCAGATTTCAAAGAGTTAATAAATGAAACTCTAATATTCTCAACCCTAATGGGGCTCCAAGGCTGGAGAGACTAGAGAACTCTAAGAGCTCCAAGAAACCCCTTAAGATTGATTGGATTTTGGTTGGTTTTGGACTTAAAAATTGTTTTGGGAGCACTTTCTTGTTCTCGATTTTCTGTCTCTTGATAAGAGTCATCGGTTTTCCTTTTGGTTCTCGGATCAGTTCCGGATACCCGAAAATTTTCCATCTTGCAAGGGAACATTCCGAACTATGTAAAAACTTTTAAATTTTTTTGCTTCGCCGTGTAGAGCAGGGTCGATAAACTATTGCCAGTTTTTGGCTTTCTTGGCCTTGACCTCCATTTCGAAAATTATAGGGCTTCAAAGTTTTCGAATTTTGGAGCGAATTTTGACCCTCATTTTTCCTGTTAAAGAGAATCGGCCCAAAGTCATTCTGCAAGAGGACGAAAATCACTTTGTAATAGGTAGTCTGGAGTCCTCTACCGAATAGTACCAAAAAATATATCAAATTCACGGTGACATTAGACGGTCCCGTATTAATATTTGTATCCTTATTCCAGTCCTATTTTAAGCTCCAAAATTCTCTTTCCTAATATTTTTAGAGATCGATCTGGGTCAATCAAGGCCTGAATCTTTCCTGTATCTAGAGTCTAGGCCCAAGCATTTTTTTACTTTCCTGGGTTTTCCTGGGCTACAGTCCCAGAATCCGGCCGATATCAATAAATCATACTCAGAGTCCAGGAATCTTTCATTTCCTTTTTGTCAATTTTTTTCAGGCCCAAGTTGTTATGCGCGTTGTAGACCCAAAAGTAGCTTATTCAATGCTTCATCGAGAACAAGCCCAAACACTTTCAACATCTTCCGCAGCCTTACAACAACATTCTCAATTTCCAGGGCAGCAACAACCACCTTCTTCCCAACAACAATTTCAACCACAAAATCTTCCTCCACAATTTAATATGCCTCCACCGCCAGTTATTGCTGCGTCTGGAGGACAATTTCACCAATTTCCTCCACAAAATGCTATGGGAATGAGTACAAATGTTTTGCAACAACAACCACCAACGCATGGAGGATTTCAATCGAAACAACAAAATGTTCAACAGGTTTTTTGGGAAATTTATTTTTTGTTTAAAAGCTTCTTTGGGAAGGACACATCCATGAATTTTATATGAAATCATGCCCGTAGCCAGGGGGTAGGCCCCCCTCACCCGAAAAAATCCTGGCTACGGGCCGGTAAGAAATTCAAGTTGGACGAGTTATTCAACCCTCCTTACCCAAAGATTTTTTAGGTTACTAGGGATGGGTCCTTGTATATTTTTAAAGGCGGAAGAGCTCCAATCCATATTATTTCTGTTCAGGCATGATCACGGATACTGATCTTGGTATCCGTATCCGCATATTTACGTCGGATACAGACGGATATCCGCAGGCATTTTGATATTAACAGTATCCGTATCCATGACCATGCCTGTTTCTGTTATTCTTTTTTATGTGATACTTTCAACTTGGGTAGCACCCCGAGCCTTCGGGGTCGGAAGTGTCGGGTTTCGGGGTTTGCCGGTGTAGTGCCTTCGAGGTTCGGGTTGGGGGTTTTGGCAAAAAAATAGTCAGGGGACGGGATCCTACCCTATTTTCAACTAAATTTATTTTGGAGAGTTTTATTTGGTTGTTTAACCTCAAAAAAAGTTTTTTCCCCATACCAACGGATTTCCACTTTTTTCCTTATTTGTTGGTTAATCTCTCCATAATTTAGACAAGAAAACGTTTTTTTTTTTTAGATTCAACAACCACAACTTCAACATACTCAAACTTCACCCCAACAACAAATTCCTCCACAACAGCAACAAGTACAATCTTCTCAAGACAATTTGGACGAGGAACAACAAGCACAAATGCTTGTATGTGGTTTTTTTTTGATTTTAAATTAAATTTTTAATTATTTTTTTTTGGCTCATTGATTTTGGGGAGGGAGAAGAAACTAAAAAATTTTTTTTCGAAAATTTAAAGAAAAATTTTTTCAGAAATTTTCAAAAAAAAATTTTTTTTGAAAATTTTGAAAAAAATTTTTAAAAAATTTTCAACAATTTTTTGAAATTTTTTTAAAAAATTTTTCAAATTTTTGAAAATCCCAAAAAAAAAAAATAATTTTTTCCAGGTTCGTGTATTACAATTAACTGATGAACAAATAAGAATGTTGCCACCAACTGAACGTGCTCAAGTAATTGAATTACGTAATCAATTAAGAAATGCTGGGGCAACTGCTTGATGAGGAAAAAAATTTTTTTGGGGAGTAAAAAAAATTGTTGAATTATGGGGAAAGGGAAGAAGTTTTTTTTCTATTATTTTATTTATTTAATTTTTTTAACTGACAAAATAAACAAAATTATTAATAAATATTTTTTTGTTCTACAAGTTGTAATTTTATTAGAAACTTGTAGCTAGGGCACCAATTTCAGTCAATAAATAAGTGAAACATAATAAAAAACATAAAATGCATGTAAAAAATATTTGCGTTTATAACGCCAAAATTTTGGCGCACACTCATTTTAGCCTTCTGAAATATTCCCTGGATACGCTCTTGACCCGTAGGGTTTTACTATATCGGTTACAGTTTTGTTTAGCCTAGAGAAATTTTATACTCGATTTTGAGGGATGAATTTTTCTGTTCCAAATGTGTTCCAATGAATTTTGTATTCCAATTCTGTTCCAATGTTTCATTTGATCCGAAAAATTTTTTTCTCCAAGTTTTTTATTTCAGTAAATTTGTTTAATTATTGTCTATATCTTTCTCTCTTTTACTCTAAAAATTGACTCTAAATTTACTATTTTTGTTTCAACTTACTCCCTTGAAGGCGTTAAAAATGAAGTGAAAAAAAATAAATAAAAACAAGAATTATAACAAACATCAATACATACATATGTGATCGGGTCAAAAACAAGAAAAATAAATACTATTCGTCTTTAAAAAATTATTTTTTCTCTTTCCCTTTCTAATGAAGGTTGAGAAAAAATTAAATTCTTCTGACAGCTCTATTGACAACAATAACAGTAAAAATGAATTTAAACAACACCCTTTGTTTATTCGTCTAAAGTTACGTTCACTTTGTATGGTTGGCGCTCTTTTACCTGGTAATCTGGGACTTAATTAATATTCTCCTCTTTCCAAAATATTGAATGGTCCCATGTTTCTGGCTCCAGACAACTTTGTTTCTCTTAGTTGAGAGAACACTGTCGAGTGAATGGTGATAGATAATAGGGATCGATATATTGAAAATATCAATCTCTATAACCTAGATTTTTTTCGAGATCTCGTCTCGGTCCGATCCCTGTCCACATATCCAAAATTTGAAACAGAAGGTATGGGGTCCTTCCCAAAAATCAGTTTTTTTATTTTCTAGGCGTGGTTGTATACTGCGATTCTCAGGATTAATCAGAATCCATCCCTATACGTAGAATTAAAAAATCTCATTAATCCCGAGATTACGAATTAATCAACCTTTGTTTGCGCTCCTTATAAAATCAAAGAAAATAGTCAATTCCGTTTAATATTTTCCCCTTTTTAAATTTTCCCCTTCAATTTAAATTCTAATCAGGAGTTGGATGTTATACTTGCCTTCTCTACACTTTTATTTTTCAACGTGAACGAATCGACAATTTTGTGACAACAAATTGCCCCAAAGTTCACAGTTCATTCCCCCCAGTTTCCTACTCTATAGGTGTTTGGGAGCCTCAAAAATCTTTTTGGCTTTTTGTTCTTTTCATTCATGTTCAGGCACGGATATTTTTTGGAGTTGTAAGTTGGGGTTAATTGTCAAGAAAAAATTTTTTTCTTTAAATTTTTCGGCATATAAAGGAAATTTTGAGTTGGGAGAGTCTGAATATAAACAAAGAAATTGGTATATTCCAATGTTGAAGACACACATGTTTTTAATTTTTTCTGAAATTGTTGGGCTGGTTCTTGTTTCTGTTGTTGATATTGAAGAATATTTTGGTAAAGTATTCATTTTTTAAAAATATTATTTAAAATTGTAAATTTGTGGGAAATTTTCAAAATGTCGAAAAGTCAAAAAAATTTCAAAATGTCGAAAAGCCAAAAATCTTTCAAAAAGTCAAAAAAAATTTTCAAAATGTCAAAAAGTCAAAAAAATTTCAAAATGTCAAAAAGTCAAAAAATTTTCAAAATGTCAAAAAGTCAAAAAATTTTCAAAATGTCAAAAAGTCAAAAAAATTTTAAAAATGTCAAAAAGTCAAAAAAATTTCAAAATGTCAAAAAGTCAAAAAGACAAAAATTTTTCAAAATGTCGAAAAGACAAAATTTTTTAAAATGTCAAGATTTCAAAATGTAAATTTTAACAAATTTCTCTCAGTTTTTCATGCAATTGGTTACGCTCTGTGGCTAATTTCTTTTAATTTTAACGTACTTTGTAACACGATACTCTTTTATCACTCAGGAATCACGTCACTTTGGGAAAATGTAAAAATAAATTTTAATAAATTTTTATTATTTTTTAAATTTAGTTGAATTTTATTTTTCGCCTCAAATGTGTTTTGGGATATTTAATTATTTATCCATTATCTGTATCTACAGGCTTTACTTATTTTGGATATCTCTATACTTGCAATGTTTTATTTAAGTTTTACATTTTTGTTTCGGGGATATTTTTATTCCGGGACGTTAGAGTCTCAATACAAAAATTTTATTTGGGGACGTTGGAGTCTTGGCTGTTGACCCCTTAGGTCTCTTAAGGTTGAGAATACTCTAATGAACCCATATTTTAAAAATTTAATGCCTGTGACTCTAGTGTCCTCAGATTTCAAAGTTAATTTAATAAATGAGACTCTAATATTCTCAACCCTAATGGGGCTCCAAGGCTGGAGAGGGCTCCAAGAGACTCCAAGACTCCAACCCCTTAGGGATGAGAATTTTAGAGTCTCATCTACTAATTCTTTAAAATATGAAGACACTTGAGTCTCAGGCATTAAATTATTAAAATATTGGTTCATTAGAGTCTCAGTCTTCGAACTTTAGACGTATGGTGGTGACCAGAGGTGGGTCGGAACAGTCAGAGGTGTCGGAAATTGGAAGAGCCGGAAATCGGAACTGACTCAAAAGTCGGAAATCGGAACTGACTCAAAAGTCGGAAATCGGAAATAAAAATTTTTTTTCGGAAATCGGAAGGAAAAAATGACGGAACTCGGAATTCCGACCCCCCTCTAGTGGTGACATTTGGGTCTCAGTTATTATTTTTTCCACAATATTTTACTTAATATAGTAAAGCGGTTGGTCCCGTTCCCCAGTGCCTTGTTGTATTGCTGATGTTATTAGCAGAGTCGCGCATGTTGCAATCATGTGTGAACTCCGCAGAGTATAGAAATAAGTTAATCGCACGCAGTGGGGGAATATAGGGAGACGTCTCTCCCTTTACACGATGGATAAGCCGGCCGGCAACTCTGTTGAATGAATGAAGAAGTGATCTGCCTTTGCCTATTCCATTAGAGCTTATAAGCACCAGCCTATTTACTAATCGCTTTCCCAAGGATAAGTTAGTGGCGATGTTAAGCTTCGATAATGGGTGGCTAATAACTCTCTGGGAATGGCCGTTTGTAATATTCTTTCCTTTTCTCTGGGAACTTCCGCTACTTAGCACAAAGTTTATAGCGACATTATCGTTCACGTGATTTCAGGATGAACCCAGCCTTACACCTCTAACCTTCCAATAGACCGTCCCTGGTCGTTAAGATTTGACCATCCTCTACACCTCTAACCTTCCAATGGACCGTCCCTGGTCCTATTTTTGTTTTGTTTTATATGAATCCCTCAGGATTTAATTTTTTTGTAAAATATTAATTCATTTTTTTTCACATGTGAGAGTCCCGCAGGACTTATATTTAGAAACATGAATTAATAGTTTGCGTAACGTTCAGAGAAAAAAAATTTTGAACTTAACGTGATTATGAGGTTTATTGAGATTTTCCCTTGATACTGAGGATTTGACAGAATCAAGTTTGAATATGAGATCTACTTCAATTCTATAATTCTTTATTTTATTTATCTTTAATGAACCCCTCAGGGTTTGTATTAATGAATCCTGGCGCAAGCTGAAATTTTAAAGAGCTAGACGCAGCGAAGGATTGGAAGAACAGAAGGCCTTTTTGTTAAGATCAGTTTTTGTAAAATTAAGGCGATAGTAGTAGCGGACTTAATTTTGTGACAGGAACGCGAGACATTTTTGTTTTTGGATTTTATTTTTGAGTTAATGAAAGAATTTAAAATATTCAGACGCATGCAACAAGTATAGCGCGTCGTATTATTTGCGTTTATTTAATTTTAATTATTATTCAATTGAACCCCTCGGGGTTTTGTAATCAGATTGTGGATAAAAACCCGTTCTTAATCTTTTCAAGGGTTTCCATATTTTTAATTTTGAAATATGATTATTCACATATTTAAAACAACCTATACACAGGATCACTAATCCTAACTGGAATTGATACCTCTGTGGTTAGATGCCTCAGTGGTTTGTTGTTAGTTCATTCATTTTGCTGACAAGGTCGTTTAATATTTCACCTTGTTCTTTAAGCATTTCTTTGATGATGAGTTGTTCTTCGTCAACTTCTTCCAGAGTTGGATAATGTTCCTGGTTCTGTCGTTTCCTACAATTGATCTCAAAATGACCTACCTTGTCACAATAGTTGCATATTGGTTTGTTGTTATATTGTTTGATTGTTTCACATTTTAATTTGCGTGAACCCCACAGGGTTTTACTGCAACTATTTTCATTTGATTCGTCGTTTGTGTTTGCCCTTAATGAAGTGCTTTGATCATTGATTAGGCATAAAGGACTGAGCATTGGATTTGAGTTTGCGCATAACATTAATTCTGCCTCTTGAGCATTTAGGAGTAGTGTGTCGAAGTTCGTCCTGTTAGGCCCAGTCAGTGTTCTTGTGAGAAATTGAAGATTTGGGCTAAGCTTTTCTAGGAAGGTTCGACAACGCACTTCTTCCGAATTTCCTATGTGGTCTGTAGAAGTTGCTTCTATCATAGGAATTAATCTGGAAGCAAATTGCTCTACTGATTCTCCTTCATTCTGTTTGCATATGCTTAGAGCTTTGAAGATTAGCTCACGATTTTGTGTTGTATCTAAATTTTCTTTGATTTTGTTAATGGCTCCCTCAAGAGTTGCTTTTTCAGCTTGGGGTATTTTGTCAAATATTCTTCGCGCCTTTCCGTCAAGACATACTTTGAGTCGGGCAATTTTATCTGTTTCATCCCACTTACCATTGCATTCGATTATGTCTTTGAATTTCCTCGCCCAGTTTCCGAACTCAATTACTGAATTGCCCGAAAAAATTGTGAATGTTGGAGAGTTCTCTGTTGAGAGCATATTAATATAATGGAATCCCTCAGGATTTTTATAAAATTCGTTTGTGACTCCCTCAGGAGTTTTGATTGTATTATTTTTTAATGAATGTGAGGATCTTTCCTCATAAGGAAAAAAAGACATTGAATTAGTCGAGATTGGAATTAATAATAAAAAATTTTTAAACCTGAAAAATAAAAAATAATATAAAAATAATTAAAGTAATTAAAAATGAATTAATATTTGCCAAAACCCAATAATGAAAGTGTTAATAAGTGGAAGGATATAAATTAGATTAAGAAGCTAAGATATAAGCTTTTTTTAAGTTCAAGCTTTCCCATTGACTAATCTTTTATTTATTGGAGTGAGATTAGATAAGGTTTGTAAAAGTAATATATTATTTGCTATCTGGGAATTGTTTTCATTAAAATAAAAAGGAAGAAAATTTTATTGTAAAATTGACTTCCGATCACTGAGAAGATATTAATGTGGCTTATAGTAATAATTCCTGTGGGAAACATTAATAATAGAAAAATAAAAAAAATTAATTTTTTGAATTTGTGTAATAAAGTAGATTTTCTTATGGACTTTGTTCAAGAAAAAATTGTAATTTTCCTTAAAAAAATTTTTTGTATATTTTCGATTTTGGGAAAACTGAAGGAAATTTGGGCAATTAGAAAGAAGAAAAAAAGGAAGACCGAAAACATAATGTCTGCCCTCAGAATTTTAATATTAAATGGAACCCTCAGGTTATGAAGTAAAACTGGTTCAGCTTTGAGAAATATAGTTTTTCTATTAGTATTTTTGAGGGCCCACGCAAAAGTTATTTTTTGCAGACCTATGAAATTTTGTTAATCCTCATGTGAAAATGTTTAATTTTTCTCTCAGAATTGATCCTTTTTGGTTTTTTTATAATTGATCTTTTTTGATGGAGAAATTAGACATCAAAGTTAAACTTCATGTAGTGTAAATATTTTGGATTTTTTTTTACAAAAAACAATTTTTGCTCAATGATCCAAAAAATGAATTAAAACCAAAAAAAATTTAAAACCAAAATTTAAAGAGAGAATTATAAAGAATTAAAATCAATTAATGGAAGATCAAATTAATGTATAATCAAATTAATGGAAGAATTTAAATTCCAAACATTAAAATTCCCCTTTATTTCACACAATTTTTAAAAAAGAGGCCCGCATGTAAAATAATTAAGACCAGAAAATGAAAAGTAAGAACTTTGGAACTTATGGTCACTAATAATATTTTGTATGGCCTCCGCAGAGGTTATAGTTTTCTCTTGATTGACTAGTTGAGAATATAGCCCATAAATATTTTTCAGTCTTGATACACCTTAGAGGAAAACAGAGTAATAAAAATTGTAGTAGTTAAGGTTATAAAATAAAAATTCTAGATTTGTGTGAATTGTTTATTTAATAAATCGAAAATTAGAGAAAAGAGAGCTAATTTCTAAAAATTGTGCTCTTCTTTTTGCCCAGTTAATTTTTAAGACAGATCTGAAAATGAATCATTTAGTAATGAAATTAATTTCAAGAGGTGAAGAAGAACGATAATTTAATAGATGAGTTCAAAATATTTTTTGATTAGCGTTGAAATGTATGGCTACTATTTTAGATATGGCTAAGTTTATGCACTAATTGTTTTAAAATTGTGGGACCCCGCAGGGCTGAAACAGCGTTCAGGACTATTTTGATATCGATAAATATGAATTTAGTTTCCGCCAAAATAAATGAGAGAATAAAATATAAAGCCTTGCATATTTACTTTTATTTGTACCCCGCGGGGATAATTGAAAATAATAGAGAATAAAATAGCAAAGGAAAAAATATCTCTATGATAAACAATATATAAAAATATTTAAAAAGATTCATAATTATGAAAAAGCCAAAAAAAGTATATTTTCCATTTCATTTTATAGTCTTTCTCTATAAATAATAAACTTTTATGACCCTGAAAATTATGAGGGAAAACTTTCTGAAAATATATTTTTTAAAATTCGTTTAGTACCAAAATTCGTTTAGTATTTTCTGATAATTTATCTAAAAACAAAAAAAATAAACCATTATTTTATTTGATTCCTTAAAACAGGATTCCTTAAAAAATTTTTTTTTAGAAAAGGAAAATAAAATAGAAAATAATAATATAG